CCCTCCGGCGAAAGTGACTTCACGATGCTTGTCGTCTCCTGGTGTGGCTCATGTAGCTGCATTTGCAACACTTGCTGCTGCTGTTGCTGCTGATGTTGAGGTGAGTGCAGTATATGCAGCATTTGCTCATCCTTCTTCACCTCAGCCTCGTAGTAGATCTTGGCGCCATTCACCGCGCTGGCGGGATGTAAGCACTTGGCGCCCACAGTATTCAATGGTGCCAACTTCGGCATGGTAGCTGTGGGTTGCTTCACCTGCAGTGGTGGCGTTGTGGTGGCTATATGCTCCTGACGTTGCTGCATCGGCAGCACACGATTCGTTGGACGCGAGCCCATAGTTGTTGTTGTATTTGTGGTGCCACCGTTGCCGGCGGTATTGTTGTTATTGTACTGGAGAGTTTGCTGCAAGGGATTCACAATATTCGTCGGCACATTGAAGGCCGAATTCGAATACTGCAGGCAGCGATTATTGCTGTTGCCGTTGTTATTATTACAAATACTGGCAAGCGAGCCATTGCTGTTGGAGTTGTGCGCTGCTGGCAAGATATTGCTCGCCTGCTCATGCGACTGCTGCGGTGTTGGTGGTGCAAAGCTCTCCACTTGCTCCAAGCTGAGGCTATTAAATTCGATTTCCTGTGGTGGTAGCTGCGGCTGTTGCTGCTGATGACTGCAATCATAGCTGTGCGACATGTTGCCGTTGGTCAAGTGAGGCGGTGGCGGCTCTTGCTGCTCCTCCTGCACCACGCCGTTATTGTACATAGACGTGGGCGCATTATTGTATGGTTGTTGTGTGACTGCTGGCGGCTCGGGGTAAAGCTGGGGCTGCATCACAGCATTTGGCTGTGGGAACTCCATCAATTTGTTGCCGCCCATGTTGTTGTTCACTGTCGCCGGCATGGCAGCTGGAGTAGGCGTAGATGTTAGAGCGCGTGCTGCCTGTTCGCTGACGTGTTGTTGTGTCTGCACCTGGCTTTGCTGCGGCTGTGGCAAACCAACCTGAGCAGGTTGCGGCTGCGGCTTTAGCATTGCCATCTTCGCTGTTTGTTGTTGTGCCGCTTGTGGTGTTGGCTGCTGCTGTGGTTGTTTTTGTTGTTGTATCGGCTGCTGTTGCTGAACTTTAGGCTGCGCTGGCTGCTGTTTGGGAACGGTCGCAGCGGTCTTTATTACCTTCGGCTTCACCTCCGCCTTATTAATTGGCCGTATAAGGTTTGTTTTGCGCGCTGATGTCGGTATTGTAGCCGCCACAGTAGGCATAGTCTTTGCTTTAGTAGGTTGCGTGGTGGTTGTTGTAGTAACAGGTGTAGCAAATATAGTGACGGCTGTTGTGTCGCTGCTGTTGGACACTTTTGTATATGCAGCACCTGTGGCAAGTTGCGACGGCGTTGTCTTTGTGACGGGCGTCAATGTGATTTGGGCATCAGCGACTGTCACTGAGACAGTTGCTGCTGTTGCCGCTGCCGCTGCCGCCGCCGCCGCCGCTGTGGCAGCTGCTGCGGCTGCATTCCGCGCGTTCGCCTGCTGTTGTTGTTGTGCTTTATTGTTTGCTACCCTCGCCGGCGCTTGCGTTTGCTGCATTACTGTAGTGGGCAATACCTTATTCACCACCTGTTGCGGCTGCACCTTCGTCACGGCCGCCACTGGTGTTGCCTTCACCGCGTTGCTACGCTTCACTTGCGCCACAGGTGGCACTTTCGCCGTTACGATTTGCACATTGGTATTTTGCTGCTGCTGCTGCAGTTGCTCGATCACTTGCTGTTGTTGTTGTTGTTGTTGTTG